CTGAAATATTTGATAATAACAAAGGATTTAAATTCAGACTTACAGAATGATGCTTTATTATCAAATTTAATATAAGTAATATCTATCATTCATCATCTTAAATTGTGCAGTTTTATACACTCTCATAGCAAGCAATGAAACTATGATATTCAAATCTTGTGATCCTTTAACACTCAATGCATCATAATACAATTAATGTTTTAGAATCTAGAAAATGAGGACTGGGACATCACAAAAGATTCCATTAATTTCTCAGCGTGAAAATATCGTCACTGGGAGGCACACCACCAAAGAAATTGAATCATTTCCTAATGGGCCTCACCTGAGATATCCGTTCAAATCATCACAGAAACCAAATGGAATAAGACCTCTAAATAATTTCATTTGGATTAAAAGGAGGGCCTCAATTAAAAAATAACAGAAAATTATGTGTGTGTGCATGTGTGTTTGTTTGTTTGTTCTAGTTATGCATATGTTATGGTGCAATTCAAGGAACACAACCTTATGTAAGAATTATTGCAATTATGCAATCTGTTTGTCCAGATGGTATGGTTTACATGTGATGTCCACTACAATGTTAGTTTATCTATTTTGTTTACATATTTAGGGCTTCATAGGTACTTACACCCACCAAGAAGTTTTAGTAGTATTTGGAAAAATCTATACCCATTGTGCAGTCAATAATAATAATAATAATAATAATAATAATAATAATAATAATAATAATAATAATAACAATAATAATAATAATAATAATAATAACAATAATAATAATGATAATAATAATAATGACAATAATAATAATAACAACAACAACCACAATAACTGTCAATGTTAATATTATTACAAAGAAAAAAATCTAAGATTGACAAAATCAGATGTAGTCACTAGGGCCTATTAATGACTCCTTGGTGGCTGAGCACTTGAAGAGCCACATGTGTGCAACAAACAGACAGAACATATATCTGCAACTGATGGGTTGAATTGCTTTGGGCAAGTTGAAGGGACTGTCATATACCAAAAAGCCCTTCCATTTTGGCATTCTGTTTATAGTTTTTTTTATTTTTTTATTTCTATGATTTCAAGTAATTACATTTAAAATTCTTTTAGGCAGTGGTATGTTTGCTAAACTCACTGGTAGCACAGATTAATATGGTAGTTTACAGTATCTCCAGAATGTGAGTCTGCCTTTGTTTTCATTAGGCAATGGAAAGTACTTCTGTGTTTATTTTGCAATTTCTGTGCAATATGAAGCATTCCAGTTTAACCCATTCACGCCAGGTGTCACGAATACGTGACGGGCCCACTGTGAGTTTACTTGTTTAATTGTTTTCACACATAGATGGCTACACTTGTACTTGTACTGCCTGTGTCATCTGTTTACCCTTTTCTTTAATTTACAAAAATATCTTATGTTATCTTATTTTGCTGTTGCTAATGTTTATAACATTATGTTTATAATAAAAATAACCATCGATATTCATAGCACTAGTAAAAATACATTTTCCCGCCAATTCAAGTAAAGGTGAAATCAGGTAAGGAAGAGCCATCTAGTATAGAGACATTTCATTAAAAAATATAAAAAATGAGCACAGCATTTTCCTCATTTTTTGTTAATTCTTTCCCAGTGTGAATGGGATAAAGGAAGATATGAATATATATCATAAACAAAGGAAACTTGGCAAAACCAATGAATCATGTGAGAAGTTCAAGGAGAAATGTAAATACTTTTGGCAATGAGAAGGTGAAGAGGACTTTAGGCTCGGTTTTATGTAAAATAATAAAAAAAAAAATTCAATTATACATCAAGGAAATTTCTTCATTTGAAAGATAATAAAAGAAACGAGCTTGCTGTTCTGCATAAGGGAGGATGGAAAAAAAAATCAAATGATATAAGTCATGCTGGAAATGAAACTGATGATGGTGCCTCATGAAACGCCTTCTTCTTTGAGGGGCAGATATTACTTTAGCAAGAGCAAGGATCAGGTACAGCTGGTCAAATAAAATCACAGCCACTCTAAAGTTACTGAGCTGAAATTTTATCTGATAACACTACAGTGCATCATAGCATAACAATATAAATCTGTTTATAGATAACCAAACTTAAAATACATTCTTAGCAAACCTTTCACTGATATTCACATGTTTGAAATGAAACACAGGAGAAAGTATATGGAGAAACAGACATTGTATTGATCAAATGTTTACATGCTCACTTCATTCTTGCTCTGTGATGACAATTCTTATTGAGGTTTACTGTTTACATTTTAAACTTAATAAAGACCTGAGGTTTCTATAGCATTAAAAGACCACATGTTAATGTTACATACCTATCAGTTGCTTATATTTCCCTTTTTTTATTTTTGCTTTCTATATCACATACACATCAATTGTTGTTTTGACCTGTCAGGTTAATAGATCTCTTAATATATTTTCCCATGTTCAGTCAGGATGAATTTATGTTATATAAATAATCTTCTTTCATAATTCAGATGGGCAT